ATTATCATCATAACCACATGACCATCACTGGCATCATCCTCATCATCATCATTGTTATTGTCATCAGCATCACCACTAACAACATCAACATCATCAGTACCATGGTCACCATCATAAACAGCACCATCATCATCATCATCATCGTCATCATCATCACACTCAGCACATCACTACCATCATAATCTTCACAACCATCACTGACAACATCCTTATGTCCATCATCATCAATGCCAATAACTTCACCACCACCATCATCAACAGCAATGCCATAATCATAAATCATCATCACACTTAATATGTCGTTATTACTGTTACCACCACTATCATATCGTCACATGAACACAAGCTCACTGAGGGCAGAGATGTTTTTATTGGCTTTGTTTTCCTTGCTATATCCCTAGGGTCTGGTACACTGTAGGTGGCTAATAAATTTTTTTGGTTCACTCAGTATCACTAGATTTATTATTACTTTCCATCTTCATTTGATTGAAAATGGCAGAGATGTTTACATTCATCAGGCATGATCTAATACAGATACCATTGGCTGTTACTTACTTGTGGGGCTGGGGACGTAGGATGGAGTCCCTGAGGTCCCAAGGTCCACTGTGGAGGTACCAGGAGCTGAGAAAAAGTCCTCATAAGTGAAAGCAGAGAACACTCTCATGGCAGAAATGACAAGAAGGTAGACTATTGTGAGGTCTGCTGCATTTGGTCTTGACCTGGGTCTGTCTTTGGAGCTGGGGCAAAAGGGAGCTTGAGTAACTTCTGCCTTCCCAGCTCATTTGCTCAAGAGGAGGACGTATGGGTTTAAGAGGAGGGGCCAGCTCCTGCTCCACTTGATATAGGATCAGGGGCATTTGGACATGAGTTGAATACTCACTGTTGGTGGTGGGCACAGAGGTCCGATAGGTGAAACCTGTATAGAGAAGGAGGGAGGAGACTGGGTAAGGGTTAAGGAGATGTGGGGGACGCAATAGAGTTCAGGACCACCCTGGTGCAATTAAAGGAGTTTCATGGGAGAGGGGTCATTAAAGATTTCCTATCAGCATCATCACAACAGGGAAGAGTGCCCAGAGGGAATGCCTCTCATGATAACGAAGAATCCATGAAGTCCAGAACTTAGTCATCCTATATAGAGCATATGACAGAATTTTCAATGGCCAGGCAGGGAGTGTACCCGCAAGCCAGAGATTAGAGGTTGCACATCAAGGAGGAAGAGACTGCTAGCATACCACAGCTGCTCACCATTGACATAGAGGCTGTTCCTGTCCAGGGTGTAGGGCCCCAGCTCTTTGATGCCATGGGTCAGCTGGCTCAGTTCCCAGTACAGCTGCTCCCTGTCCACTCCAGGGCTTTTGGGGTCAAGACGGTGGGTGCAGATGGCATCCACTCCAGTGGCTGCCCCATCCTTCTCGGACCTGGGGAAGGTAGGAGGGGGAATGACAATGAAAAGAGTACCAGGACTTGTCTTGAGATTGCTGAGGGAAACATGTCAAGGAACCAGAGGAAATGAGAAACCTGGGGTAGAGGTGAGAAGTCACACTTAGATTATCTGAGTACACAGACCACTGTCTTGGTTGGGACAGGAAGCAGAGTCATGGATATAATAATTTTTATAAAAGTGCAAGGTGAAACCTGCATTCTCATGGCATGGGAACAGGAGAACCCAGACTTCAGACTAGTGGTGAGCTTGAAAGGCTGATGAATGTATGTGGATGAGGCATGTTTATGTTGAGAGAAATCCTGGGGACAGAATTTAACACCTAAATGAAAGGGAGGGGCACGGAAAGAAGGGAATTCAGAGGGGTGATCAGGGTAGTGCCTCAATCCTGATGATGGACCATGAAGATTCTGCATGTTGAGGTGGGGCATGGGGGTGTTACTATCAGAAAACAACTGGTTCTCAAGCCAGTGACTCCTGAATTCCCCTTTTGGTGAGGATACACCTAGGAAGTGTAGCAAGGAAGCAGTGCAAAGTCTTTTGGAGTGGGAACAAGTGGGGCAGCCAGGCTGGCTCTTCTAAAGTCTCACCTGAGCAAGGTCAGTCTGCAGCCAGAGTAGAGAGGGCCAACACTGGTGTTCTTCAACGTGGGACCAAGCTGTGGAGGCGGGAGAGGGAGATGGGGAGGAGGGGGAGGCAGGTGAGTAGGAGGGCTGAGGTGTGCGTGTTAGGCGCAGATGTGAGGTGGGTGGAGCAAGCACAATGAGCTGGACCGGTCTTCTTGGGTGTGGTTTGCATCTCTCGGAGGGAAGGGTGAAGTTGGTGCTATCTTCTTTTATCACCCTGGCATGGATGATGTAGAAGGGACTGGATATCTGGGGCCGGGCAGAGTCAGGAGGGCAGGGCACTAACCAGATTCTGCAAGACCCTCTCTGTGGTGTTGAACTTCCTGGAACCAGGGTGACGCATGTCCTCCTCATACTTTAGGTTGGTGATGGTGAAGTTGAGGGTGAAAGGCACCAGGAGAGGGCCAGCAGCTGTAGTGGGAATTGAAAATAAACACTATGTTCAAAGTCAA